TGCGTCAGCTGATCGACCATCTTACGATGACCAGGTCGCACAGGTGACCCAGTTTATGATGCAGCCGATGAAGGAGAAACAAAAGGGATATGTGGTGTCGAATTCGTGGCTGAAGCGAGTGTACTCGCGGAGTGCTACTCATGCAGACAAGGCTGATAAGACGGCGATGGAGGGAGATATCGGACCAGTCGATAACTCGGATATTGTTCTGGTCACCGACCCGGCCAACACTGGTTTCAAGGACGAGGAAGGAGAACCCTTTGTTCCTTTGAGGCCTGGCTTGGAGCTTGGCGAAGATTTTGAGATTATCCCTCAAGGGGGCTGGGACCTGATCATGCAGTGGTATGGTCTGGCAGAACAGTCCCCGGCCATCGTCCGTTACGTTCACAACACCGCCGCCGTAGGCGACCAGGAGAACCTCCAATACGAGATCAACCCTCCGATCTTCACGATCTTGAAGCTCACGAACCCCTCTGCCGGCACTTCTATCAAGACGATGAAGGAGAAGACGATGGCCCCAGTGAGGACACTGGCCAGTCGACACACCAACTTCCAGAAGTGGCTGAAGAACGCCAAAGAACTCGCTCAAATCGACATGTCGACGAAGGTTCGTGTTTGGAGGATTCTGGGTGGTCTCGGTAGCGCCACCGCATCGGCAGCAGCCACCCCAGCTGCATCCCGCAGTGCTTCTCCAGCTCCGTCCGCCTCCCTCATCGCCAACGCTGGAAGCAACCTCGTTCTCGACCTGAACACCTTCCTTTCCCTGTCGGAGGGGTCGCAGCGTGAGGTACTTGACGAGCCGAAGGACCAGACGAACAATCCCAACTACAATGGTAAAATGACTCTGGGCGTTGCGGGTCTCAACAGCAGCGAAATCATCGTGCTGGAAGAGAAGCTCCCTGGAACGAGCGGAGAATGGGTATCGGAAGCCTCCAAGCAGACACTTAACCGTCTGGGGGTGCCGTCCGGTAGCCTAAAGAACGGAGCTCCCGCAAAGGTGAAGACCAAGAGTCCTGCTACCAGCGGGCGATCGTCTCCGGTCTCAGAACCCATCAGGGGTCGACGCAAGGACGGGAAACCCCGCGGCTGCACTGGTTTGAGCAATCTTGGAAACACTTGTTACATGAACTCGGCCCTGCAGTGCGTTCGCAGTGTCGAGGAATTAACCTACTATTTCTTGAGTGCGTCAGACCTCCGCCCTAAGAAAATGTACTCCGCTAATTATCTATCTAGATGACGTTTACAAGAAGGACCTCAACCCCAGCAATCCTCTAGCTCATAATGGTGATGTGGCTAAAGCATACGCGAATATGTTGCGTCAGATGTATGATGAGGCAGGACAATCTTCGTTTGCGCCCCGTCAGCTGAAGCACACCATCGGCCGCTATGGACCGGCCTTCTCCGGTTACGGACAGCAGGATTCCCAGGAATTCCTTCTCTTCCTTCTGGATGGTCTTCAGGAGGATCTGAACCGTATTATGAAGAAGCCCTACATTGAAAAGCCGGACTCGACGGACGAGATGGTGCATAACAAGGAAGCTCTCGCAGAGTTTGCGGACAAGTGCTGGGATATCTACAAAGCCCGTAACGACTCCGTCATTACCGACCTCTTTGCTGGTATGTACAAGTCGACGCTGGTCTGCCCTGCTTGCGACAAGGTCAGCATCATTTTCGACCCTTTCAACAACCTGACCCTTCAGCTTCCGATCGAGAATCTCTGGGGTAAAGAGATTTTCTACTTCCCTCTCAACAAGAAGCCGGTCCTTGTCGATGTCGAAATCGACAAGAACGCCAGTGTCAAGGCGCTGAAGGAGCAGGTCGCAAAGAAAATGGGAACCGACCCTGAGCGCCTCGTGATGGCTGAGATCTACAAGAACAAGTTCTACAAGATGTTCGACAACACGAGCTCGATTGCGGAGTGCCAGATCAGCGGCAACGACGACATTGGTATCTACGAAGTCGAGTCAGTACCTACGAACTACAACCCCGACAAGCCCCAGAAGAGCTACTTCTCCTTCAGTCGCTCGGATCATGAGGAGATCCCCAGTTTGGACTCGCCTCGATCTGACCGCTTGCTCGTCCCCATCTTTAACCGAGTCGAGAAGAAACGGGGAAACAACCCCAAGAATGCGCAACGGTCGCTCTTCGGAGTTCCATCGTATGTGGTCATCAATCGGGAGGAGTTTGGGGACTACGATACGATCTTCCGCAAGGTCCTGTCGCAGGTCGCCTCGATGTCCACCCGTGACTTCCTGAATGAGGAGAATACGACCGAGGTCAGCCATGAAGACTCAGACACCGTTATTATGAACGAGGATGATGCGGAGTCGGCTGACTCGAAGATCAAGACTGCGTCCGTTGACGGCGAGGACGGCATGGTCGATGTCTCGATGCGTGACGCGGATGACAGTTCAAGCGACGCCCCAGCCCGCTCCGAAAGTGCTATTTCCCCTAATTTGCGCTGTCTTTTCGAGATGAAGATCATCAAGTCGAGTAGCGAGGTTGTTCCCACTGGGTGGTCAACCGTGGATGACCACAAGGAGTATCCGAAGATGTCATTTAGAATCAAGACGCCGGTGAAGAAGCAGAAACAGGTAAGTCGTTCTCTTTGTTTTCATTTGGAACTTCCACTAAACGATGGTCAGTCCGTGGACAGCACGAATGGCACGGAGCAGAAGGATGAAGAGTCCGGAGATAAGAGCTCCGACAGTGCCAGTGGTGAATCGGCTTCTAAGCCTAAGGCTCAGGACCGGCCGATGATCCGCCCCGGTGAGGGTATTGTAGTGGACTGGACTGAGCAAGCTCATGACGCTCTCTTCGCTGGAAGCAGTAGAGACAAGAACTCCCTGCGTGGGGCGCCGACATGGACGGACGTCGAACGCGTGCCTGACCCGGAACTGAGCAAGCGCCGTACTCTGCGCCAAAACCGGAAGAAGCGGGGCGTGACGCTCTACGAGTGTCTGGACGAGTTCAACAAAGAGGAGGTCCTTTCCGAGAACGATGCTTGGTACTGTCCCCGCTGCAAGGAGCACCGTCGGGCCAGCAAGAAGTTCGAGTTGTGGAAGACACCGGACATTCTGGTCATGCACCTCAAGAGGTTCAGCGCCAGCCGCGGATTCCGCGACAAGCTGGATGTCCTGGTCGACTTCCCAGTGGAGGGCCTCGATATGACCGGCAGGGTCGAGGCGCCTGAAGAGGGCAAGAGTCAGATCTACGACCTCTTCGCCGTCGACAATCACTACGGAGGCCTTGGTGGCGGACACTACACAGCGTACGCCAAGAACTTTTTCACCGGGCAGTGGAACGAATATAACGGTAAGATCGCCTGAATCATAGACGTTTTGGACAACAACTGACTGGACTAGATTCTTCCGTCTCGCGCCCGATTGATCCGCAGAGTGTGGTCACCTCGTCGGCGTATCTGCTGTTTTACCGGCGCCGGTCCGACCGGCCGCTGGGCGGCAAGGTGTTGGAGGAGATCACGGAAGCGTCGACACGGCCGAACAGCGACGTGGACTCGCAGACCGAGTCTCGCGGACAGTCTCCGTCGGGGGAAGGCCGGCGCCTCGGCGGCTCCTCCCGCAATGGGTCGTCGAGCGCCTTAACCGGAGTCGGAGCAGCTCACCAATCGGGAGATGGTGGTTTGCCAACTGGAACCCAAACGAAGAGCGGGGATGATGACTGGCCGCCGGGATATACCAACGTCCCATCATTTGGCGAGCAGAGCCTAGATCGCGCGACGCAATCGGAAGGTATGAATTTCGAAGATGAGGAGATTGGCGGGGGCATGCAGCCCAGCCCGTTCCGCCCTCAGGACGACACACCCTCGTGGTCGTTCAGTCGCGCCACAGATGCTCACGGCCCTTCACAGATGACCACAGTTCCAACTGACGACGAAGATCTACTCGACGATGACGCGAGCAACCAGGCCGTAGGCGGCGGCGATGTCAGCGACCCGGACCTTCGGATGGCCTCTTTGATGGACAGTCCACGCGGGGCCGCCTACCCAGGTACCCCGATGGAGGAGACGTCATTCCCGGACATTTCGGCATTTGCAGCGGACGGTGACGATGACGAGGAGGATGAGTTGCCGGTGGTAGAACTCCAAGTGCATGATGAAGACCAGACACTGCCGTAGACAGGGGGGATGATTCTCCCAATCTCTCTTACTGTCTTTTGGAAATGTGCAACGAATGATTACAGGTGTTTAGATCGCCCGACAGGGGATGGCGATAATGATCTTTCGCAGAGTGGATGATGATTTCGAGGAATGAAGTCGACGACCCTTATAATAGCCATGGTGTTTTGTTTTACTACGCAGCCCGGGAATAGAGAGGGCCGTGGATGGTTGCATGCATTTTTACGGGATCGGATGGCGGGTGCCGTCCTGCATTACATGTATTTTCGGAGCAGTTGGAGATGTTATAACAAAAAAGGTGTGTTGAGTGAGATGATGTTTTGCGGAGGGATGATATGGGGATGAGTGAGTGTATGGTTGAACCACGTGGGAGGTCATGGCGAGTCACACGCTTGTGGCAGCTGTCATGCGATGCCGCAAATGCGAGGCTACTGCTAAATATATACTACTTTCATACCAGCCGGCCATAGAATTCAAGATTATGTGGTCTTCATATCGTTTCTATAGTGCTCGGTTCTCTAATGTAAACTGCGTTAATACTTATCCTTATGCAATCCTGACAAACTAGTCAATCACAACGAGTAAAGTATTATTCCCGACAGCCTCGCCTGCCTAATCCGTTCTTTCGATCCGTCAATCTGTCCTGCTCTGCTTAGATTCCCCTCCCTGACGTGCTTACTCTTATCCTTCTCTCAACTACTACCTAGTCCTCCAGCGGACAGACACATAGTCTTCAGGCTGACATCTTCAACACACCCTCTTCCTCTCATAATCAATCCAACTCGTCTCTCCTACCCTCTTCTCATCTCAAACTCAGCCAAGCCAGTTTTTAAACTCAACCCACATAATCTCGAAACCCAAAATGCGTCCACCGATGGCACCATCAGAAGCACAGAAGCCCAACAATTCCCCAAACGGATCCGCATCTACATCCACCACGAACGTGAGAAGAAAAGTCCTGATGGAGTTCTCATCCCTCCATCCGTGCTCTGCATCGATGGATGATGATGATGAGGATAATAGTATACAATCATCGCAAGAACATACCGAATCCTCCCCGGGGATGCATCCAATCTCGCATTCACATTCTCATCCATTGTCATCGTCGTCGTCGTCTTCAACACCTACTCAGATGCAGACTCGATCCGTCGATCATGCTAATCGGAACTACGCGAAGGGCCCAGAACACGAGTCAACACCCACAACCACCGCCCCCAGTATCACAGCTAGATTCAGATCGAAATCAAAGTCGAAAGCTACGACTGCACATGTCCACTTCCTTGACGAAGAGATCAATGAGCCTGCTCCATATACGATCACGAACGGGAACAGAAGTACAAAAGCCGATATGAATACAACTGAAGAAAGAACCACTCTTGGTCCTCGCAGCCGGGATCTCTCTCTTAGTGAGAGTGAAATCAGTCTGCTCGATTTGGGTCCGAGTCTTGTGTATGGGGATGATGGGTATATTCCCTTGTCTGGGGGTAGATTTGGGCATGGGCAGGGTGGTGGTGTTTCGGTGGTGGGGAGGGGAGGTGCAGGGTTTACACCTGGAGTGAGGGAGTAAGCATAGCTCGTTGGTGGTTCTGTTGTAGATGGATGGAGTTTATGGTCTCTTATTCGGTCGGGTCTGTGGGATAGAGGAGTTGTTCCGGTTTGTTAGAATAGTGTAGAGTACGTTGCTTTCCTTCTGCTTCTTTGTACTATGGAGATGAGTATTCGCGGTGTTTATAGTTGAATGATTCTAATTCAACGTGAGGTATTACATGCAATTATGCTCTATATACTTATGATCTATACAATAGTATCCACTATAACAGAATACTACCAACTTCAATACTCACAGTGGAACCGGCCACCCATCCACATACTTCAAATAATTATATCCCAGCCGTGCTTCCTAAACCACCATTAGCCCACATCAATACCACCCCAAAGATAAAAACATAAACATACCTTAAACTCATACCCCACAGATATATTCACTGCCACACCCATATTAGCACCAACCGCCTCTCCCAAATCAACGAAAACAATTCGATTGAAAGAAAGGGGAGAGGAACTCACAATAATGATAATAAAGCACATCTCCCTCCACCTCCCCACTCAACACGCCCTGTCCCCCAGGCGCATAAACATCCCCATTCGACCCATACACAATCTCCCCTCCTCCATCCACTAGATCTTTCCCTTCTTTATCCACGAATGGACCTTGAGGAGAACTTGATCGTCCGACGCGGATGCTGTATCTATTTCATACAATCTTCATTAGCTTATCACTTCATTGCCTCTCAATCAACAGGAATAGATGATATCTATCGATAAAGGGGCGAGGAGGAAAAGAAGGACATACTCAAGACCAGCCCTCGGCAATTTCTCCGGATCAAAATGACAGCACTTCCCCCAACTAAACCACAAATACCACCACGGCTCATGATAGGATATAAACGCCCCCTCGATGGGATGCATGCCCGTCGTATCACCACATAATCCATCTGCTTTTTTGGTTGGTGGGTGGATGGCTGCGGGCTCGTGGGCGAGATGTTTAACCCTTTTTTCTTCTTCTCCCTGCTTGTCCATATGAAGCAGGTTAGGCTTCAGCGGGACTTGCCATATCCCCGTCCAGAAACTGCCGAAGGTCATGTATCCTCTCCCTTTTCCTTTCTTTCCCTCTTCTAGAGAGATCTCTCCTTCGGAGGGTTCGGTTTGGGTCTGGGTGTCAGTATAATCAACAACAACACTAACATCAATCGCATTCGCCCTATCAAACGGGTACTCCTTCCCCCTCTCCCCTCGTCCGGAGATAGCTATCGCCCCGTGGTCCTCCCATCCCCCAGGGCCCGGAGAAGTAGAGGTAGCCACGCCGATAGCGCTATCGCGACATCCACTATGGCTCGTCGCGTAAAAGACGTAGAAGGTACCGTCGTGGACGAGGGCGGTCGGTGCCCATGGGGCTTTGCGATCACCCTTTGGTAGAATACTATCTGCATCGAGGACGGTGCCGACTTTGGTCCATGGTCCTTGGAGGGTCGGGGCGGAGTGGATGGGGATGTGAGGGCCGGAGCCGTAGGCGTAGTAGGTGTTTGTGGGCAGGTCGTAGAGGATGCTGGGGTCGTGGATGTGCAGGGGAGGGATGGTGGGGTTGGTTGGGGGGTAGCCGTAGATGGATTTGTATGAGTCTTCTGGGGAGGGAGGGAGGTCTGGGTCTGGGAGGTCTGGGGTTTGTGGGATAATGGAGGGCTGGAAGTGAATGTAGAGGGCGTAGAGGAAGATGGAGAAGACGGTGAGAAGGGAGAGGGATTTGATTATGCGACGGAGTGTATATGGTGATGGGGAGCTAGAACTGGGGTCTTTGGGGTTGGCGATGAAGGTCCATAGTTTGGACCAGTTGGGGGTCATTGTGTGGTGGTGAGAGGGTGGCTCATTGCTTGGTTGCTTATTCCAGGATTGATAAATGGATGCTCAGTGCATGTGAGCGCGCCAACTGGTGAGGATGTTGCAATCCAGGATGGTGATGATGCGATTTCCAGGATAGTAACTGAAAGAGGGGTATGGCAGCACCCTGTATCCTGGCAAGTGACACTCGACACTTCAATTATTCGTGGCCCGATATCATGAATAGATGATGTAGGTCTTGGCGAACCCCTTCCTGATGGTTCTCATCTACATCTCCAATTAGTCTCGCTCCTGTGCTTCTGCGGGAAATAACTTACATATCTGATGCTAGGATAACTGCAGAACGCCAACTGCATAACGAGAGCAGTCAGCACTAGCGGAGTGGACGGGGGAAGGGAGTTCAATAAATATCAGGAAGAATTGGCCCGTCCGTTCGGCGTTGATCGTCGATCGCCCGCAGTAAGACAACGGGCCAATCAGCGGGACGGCATGTGATGCCGTCTCAGCTAAAGTGAGGTGCCAGGATCGACATCAACTACTTTGTAGAGATGGAGAATCTGGCCTCTATTCAATTACATCCACTACGTGGCCATGAACTTGGGAACGTCCAGAGTTCAGTTGATCTTATTGCGGGTAGAAATTACTTGATCATGGCAGTTCAAGTAGCCGGAACATCATTATACGCATCAATAGCATACAGGGTACTGGATCAACGCATGACAGTCTTAACCAGCTCATCAGGATCTCCTCGTCATAAATTGGCAGCTGGATGTCATGCAAAATACAAACCAACGCCCTCGCTCCATACCCTTTGACATAAATAGATATCCTACCTAACTACAATCTTGTCCACCTCATCTTTGGCCTCCGTCCACGTCTCCAGATTTTTGCGCGCCCAGTCCAGATGGCACCGTGCATATGCAACCTGTCCAGTCAGCTTGATTCCCGATTCCCGAGAGGATATTAGTATAAACTTACCATGTACCGTCGCAGATCCATCTCCTTGTCCTTCTGGAATCGCTTCAGATCCTGCAACACTCCCGCACTGGCATCCTTAACATCCTTTTCGGACACCCCAAGTGCTTGCTCCAGCTGCACCAGACTTTCTTTCGTCTTGCCGATCTGGTCGCGACGGGTTCGCTCCGGATCAACATCCACAAAGCCGTGGACCGCGTGGCTGATCCGACCGAAGATCTTGTTCGCCACAAAGGTCCCACTAGACGTCTTGCGATGCGCCGGCGATGCACCTCCAAAGTCCGGACGCCGCTGTGCCGTTGGAGGCGGGTGAGAATTGATGGAATCGCCGTGCGTGGGAGGAAATTCCGATTCGACTGATGCACCGTCTTCAGAACCAGCTGGACGGGCTTCACCCTCGGTGCCTCCTGGCGCACTGACGGCCGACGATGCGGACAGAGACCGCTGCGTTCTCGTGGCCCCTCCTGGGGGCGAAGTGCGATTGAGGTACTGCTCAATTCGTTTCGCCTCCATTTCACTGCGCTCCAAAGAGTCGAGCAGCGTCTTCTTCTTGGCCAGCTCGTCTCGCGTCATCTCTTCCTGCACTCGTTTGAGAACCCGATATCGTAGAACACTGCGCACAACGCTGGCAAACTGGGCGCTTTCCCTCATCGGTTCAGCGAAGCTGGCACTAAGTTGCGATGACAGCTCCTCCGTCTCAATGTAGGAAGTATCAGCGGCTTGACCGACCCGTTCGATGGCCGCTGCCACGGTCGGCGAAGGCTCTGATAGGGAGAATCCGTTATACCGTGCCCCAAGCTCCATCAGATCGGCCGACAAGGATGACAGATGGGCCAATGTGCGACGATTGACCTTTTCAATGTTCCCTTGCAGAAGCAACTCCAACTCACGCGTAGATGCCTCGAAATTGATAAAGTACGGATCTAGCTCCTTTTCACTCAGCTTCCGTGACTCTGGCGGGAAGCGACCGAGAACATCAGGCCCGGGCGTTTCTGGAGCGGGAGCAGGCGCAGGCGCAGCGCCTCCCGCAGACTTGAGCTTCGCGGATGACGATGGCACTGGTAGCCAGGCATGAGCGGGGGTGGGATTGGCGGGGTCAAGCGGAGGGGCCTTTAGATTATTCTTCGGCACGGACGATGCGGGATGGGAATGTAGGACCTCGCTCTGAACCAAGTCAGTATATTACAGCTAGCAGTTGAGCTATCATCACACCTACCCAGCTAACATTGGGGTCCAAAAACCGCCACCAGACTCCATCCTCACGAACCTCCTTCATCCGGCGACAACGATTCAAAAAGACGGCCAGCATGCGTTTGCGGAGGTCGATTATGGCGGTGTCTTCCTTAGCCTTGGTGGGCTTGGCGGCATAATCGGCCATGGTATGTTTCTCGGGAATGGGCGGGATGACGAGGGTCGGATGAAGGTTGACGAGGGTTTGTCGCAGCGACGCGAACTCAGAGTAACGTCTGCGGACCTCGAGATCCTAGAATCCATTAGCACAAGTACCGATGCAGCTTCGATGATCGTTTTGACATACTCCAGTGCGTATTGTGTACACAATGAAGCTGCCGCCGCCTTCGTGGTTCTTCCCAGCGTCTGTGATGAGGATCGGCATCTCCGGGTTTTCGTAAAGAAGCTGCTCTATCCGACTATCATATACACTCTTGCGGAGGTAGCCATGGCCAGCTTGTTGGGTAGCATAGTCTGGAGCCTCGTCTTCGTCGCTGAGGTCCTGCTGCTGTGAGAGGAAGTCGGGGGGATTGTCGGTAGATGATCGGCTGGAAGGAGATGGAGGGGTATATTCGCGGTCATAGAGAGCTGCACAGATCAGAAAACACAGCTGGATAATTGATGGGTGGGAGATGGAGATCGACCACTTACTAGGAGGAAGGGTGGCCGAATGCAGCGACTCGGAGAGATGCGCCTCGTTATCGAATGCGCCGTACGGGTTGTTATCCTCGTCGTTCCACATGGCGTCGGGGGCTGATCAAGCAGCCTAGATACTGAGAGAGTGGGTATGACAGATCAAATCATGAATCAGACAGGAGGATTAGAAAGCAAAGGCTAAGTTCACGAGACTAGGGACAGAAACAGGGAGGACAGGAGGAGGGAATGAGCTGGGGAATCCCGAAGGCATCGCCGGCTCTCTCGCGGGGATCAACGTCACCGCCTCGGGCGGCCGGCAGCGACCATCTCCGTCGCCTTAAATTGAACTATCAACACTACAGGCTATTTTGCACACTTCACCTCCAGATTATTCCACAGCTGTCCTGCTACCATCCACTCTCTGGTTCTGCAGGCTCCTCGTTTGTCTCCGCATTCGTCTGCTGCAATGCTGCTGTCAACGCATTAGGATCCACTCCTCCGTGCTGCTGCTGCTGCTGCTGGTAACCTTGCGTATCATAGGTGCTCCCTCTATTGGAAGCCGGCTTGTCATCAGCATGCCAGCTCTTCACTGAACCCCGCTTGACACCCCCAGATGCAACAAATGGCGGATCGGGCGGTGGAGCCCATCCATTATCCGAAGCCACCTTACTAGGAGGTTGAGGTTGAGGAACAGCCTCCCACTCGTCCCGCGACGGAGGCTTATTTGGCACTTGAGCAGCCGGAGTCGGTGCAGCAGGCGTTGCACGCTTACTGGGAGCACGCTTGCTGCCACGGGATGAAGGTGCAGGGGCCCACTGCTCCGGCGTTGGAGGCTTGTTGCTACGTGCAGGGGGCACAGGAGGCCACTCCTGCCTCGACGCAGGCTGACTGATATGGCGTATCGAGTTACCGCCACGAGCAGGTGGGGGAGGCCGGGGTGGCGGAGGTGAAGATGGAGGTGGTGGTAACCGCCGTGGAGGTGCAGGAGGTCTTTGGCTGCTAGGTTGAGCTGGCGTCCTTCTACCTTTTTGCCAGTGTCTCTTTCCGCCTCTTTCTGCAAGCTCTATCTTCTCGTGGGTGGTTTGGCGTTGGCCCGTCGGAGTTCGCTCGAACCGGTTGTTGTGGTAGCTGGCGCGCAGGCTGTGTCGCCACCAGAGTGTGCAAAGACAGACCATTACTGCAATGAAGAGGACCATGGCGGCCAGGATCACCACGATTACAACGTTAGGTGACATGGTTCGTTAGGCTAACGAGTGGTGTTAGTCATGTTGTGGCTTGTAGGTTGGATGGATTCATGCCTTCGTTGGTCATGTCAATCTCGAACTGTTGGAAGGTAAAGAGTAGACGACGCGTCGCATCCTCATACAGCAGTGTTATCAAGAGATGTAAGTGGCAGATGAGCGTAAACAAATCGCCCAAATGGATGCCATGACAGTGAATGTAGCCGGCTGATGTAGTGATGGTTTGCATCACAGGAAGAAACAGTCGAACTCTAATAAAAGCGTAAATTCATCTCTATACTTTTGTCTATCCTTATTCATCGATCATGACAACTCCAAAACATCCTGTATCCGTGAGACCCAATCATCATGCAGCAAGGACGCCTCCCCAGAAGCAAGCAGTGCCTGAAGCTTCTCCTTCAACACCTCAACCTGTCCCTGACCCAAAAGTCTCGACGCCGCAGAATCCTTCGAGATCACAGCACCCGCAACACTGAAAAGCCGCACGCCCAGAGTGAACGTCTCAGGCTTCGAGGCCCAGCCCAGAAGCCCATCCTTTTCAGCCTCCTTCGCTAGAATCTCCCCAAGTGAGGACAGTCCGTTCGACGCCCAGCTAAAAAGCGCGTTGAGCGAGTCTTCATTGTAGGATGATTCGCTGAGTTGACGCAACCTTGCGGACCAAACATCTACTTCGCGAACTTCGTCGATAAAGAGGTTCTGCTTTTCTTCTTCGAAGAGGATGGTGCTCTCCTTGCGGAGCTCGGAAAGACGGCCGAGGAAGGATATGAACTTAGGGGTGGCGCAGCTAAGTCTGGGCTCCTGGTCGGCGATGTACGCCATGGTCCGTTGGCAGAGGAGTCGTGAACTGGCGTAGTTCTCGGCAATGAACTTTGAAAGGAGCTCGCTTGCGTTCAGAGGAGAGAGCGCAACTGCCTTTGTTGGGGAGACAGAGGAGCATGACAGGACCCAGGAGGCGGTCGATGCGGCAAGATCGCGCAGCTCCTCATCGTCGTCGTTGAGCATATCGTAGAGAACCAGGTAGATCTCCAGCAAGACACTGTCCGTGCGAGGGGGGCTACCCGCAGGGCGTAAGATGCGTGCGAATGCCGTGACGGATGAGACAGCAGCAAGACGCGTGGTGAATTCCTGTGAGATGTTAGCAGGACTCGATACACTGTATAAGATGAGTTGAACGTACAGTCTCCTCTTGCATGGCAGACTGGAGCCGTGTGGCCCATTCCAGGATGTCGAGCTCTGAGCCCTGGCCGCCGGAGATCGTCTTCAGGGCAAGAAGACATCCTTCAAGAACCAATTCGGCGTCCGACCGGTCCCTGTTCCATATATGCTCAGTGGAAGCGTGCTTGAGGTGCTTTTCCAAGGTTTCCCATGAAAGACCGATGTGAGCGACACTTTCATTATGGAAGTCGAGGACAAACGAGAGAGCAGATGCCAGGCATGTGATTGCTACGGCTTTGACTTCCTGGGGGTACACACCCAGGATAACGGTATAATAAAGGTTAATCAGAGCCTGTCTGTACTGGTCTCTCTCACCGAGAATCTCCTGAATGCGCTCCAACAACCACTGACCAGCATTGGGGTCGAAGCGTGAAATAACACCGAGAAGTGGCTCAACTTCGGATACTTTGTCCATAATGAACATCTGCAGGACAGTGACCCATGAGATAGCCCGACGGAGGAGAGAGGGAGCGCGTGTAGTGCTTAGTGTTTTCCAAGAAGGATGCGAAGAATCGAACAAGAACTCCCGAATAGCGGCGAAAGCATAAGTCTCGGAGAGATAGTTCAGCGTCGTAGCCATTTGTCCTGCAACTGTTAGCGCGAGTGTCGTCGCGATTTGTATTTGACTTACCTTCTGCTCCCGATTCTATGCACTTTTCGATGACATCGCCAAGAATTTCCAACAGAATACTGGCCACGAATGGAGACTCTGCATATGGGAAGGATGCCGCGAAAACGTCTTTCAAGGTAGACAGCACCTCATCAACGTGCTCTGAGTAGTGTTAGCAAGGTCAATGAATTCAAGCAAATTCAAGAACATACCGTTCCAGAAAGAGAGCGAGCTCGAGGCGAATCTCCGAAGGGAGTACTTGATGCAAAGGGCTTCTCCGTGGAGATAGTCTTGCGTCTTCTGGTCTCTGTTATCATCTAACAACGCCTTGATGCTGGTCAAGACATCTGAACGGTTCAACAACGAAGCATACACTCGGGCTGCATGTTCCCTGATACCCCACACGGGGCTCTTGAACTGTTCTCGGACAAGTCCACGGAGCACATCGTCATCAACTCCAGTGACATTGGGTACCTTCTCTGCGATGAGCTCCAAGGCCGGGAAAACACGCTCCGTAACCATAGCGTTATCGCCGTCATCAGCACTGCTCTGATCCGAAGGGCTGAGAAGAGTCGGCAGGAGTTCAAACAGGCCGGGATACTTCTGGAAGGAAACTCTAGCACCTGGTTCTGAGCCTGAAGCTCCACCAAATCCTAGTCCAGTACCGGTGCGGCACATGCGCGTCAACAACGCACGGAACAGCATCAGTCCGGAGTTGCGGAGGGCCCATCTAGAATAGTCAGCATAGAGAAAAGACGCAGCCGTAGATAGTACATACATAGGCGACCCCAGCCGTTCGGCGGAGAGCCTCAAGGCAGGCATGATGAAAGGCTCCGTGTGAGGACCAAGCTTGTTGTTGGTGAAAATGTCTTTAAGACAGTTCATCGCATGCACCTGTGGCAATGGTACGTCTTGTCTCGACTTATCGTGTTCCGCAGGCAAATGGGATATCTCATGCAGCTCGTTGATAACTGTTTGGAAGAGCGGACCGCCAGGCTTTGACGAAAGGATACCGACAATCAAAGCTGGGAGACCAGCTGAGCGACGAGTAAGTTTCGAAGCGGACTCGAAGATGATCTTCTTCGCTTCCTGTATAATGGGTGAGCTTTGATCGTTTGGTTAAGACGGGATCCTTACCTGGTACCACCGACTAGGCAGCGCAGAAATCTCCTCGCTGGTTGACTGACCGCAACGCTGACAGCAAGTAGCAAAGGTCTGAGACACGGTCGAAAATGCGCCTCTGTGCCGGAGTTCAGCGAGCTGGATGAAGCTGAGTGTTCCGATTTTCTCAAAATGCTCGACCGTCAACCCAGACTCGCCTTGCGGGCCGTACGTTTTGTTGGACAGCGAGGCATGCAGGAGAAGACTATAGAATTAGTACCACCATTTACTCTAGCGCAAGAGGCAGCATACCTTGATTCGCGAAGAGCGCGCCATGAGTAAGACAGGATATCCTTAGGACCGACACCAAGCTCTTCGATGGGCTCATCGGTATGGCCTTCAGGCGAGTCGATGCAAAGAACAGGCTTGACCTCGTTCCAAATTTTGTCGCAGACTTGCACGATCCTGAGATGGATTGACTTCCAGTTGTCATATGAAGCTTCCTTGCTTGAGACAAACGAATAGAAATTGGGGGTCGCAATGATGTACCTGTTTTCTGTTAGCTCCACGGCGGGCATATGCAGCATCGTAATTACCTCAGAGCGGATACATATCCGTGCAAAGGCGCGTCGCGCATAGACGAGTTAAACAGTCCGCCTGCCAGGGAGAGCTTTTGCTCCAACTTCTTCAGAAGCGTATCGACAACCATGGACTTGTTCTCCCACCAGCGTGCAGCGTCACTTGCACCATCTATGGCGGCTGCGCGGAAGAGGATGTGGTATAGACGCGCAACGGTGTCTGCAAAGTCGGCTCTGCTGGTGTTGCTTGCCAGTTGTTCGGCCTTTGCGAGACCTTCGATGATCTGTGGTACGCCAGCTTGTTTGTCGTTGTCGAATAGAACCTCGCGTGGGAAGAGGTTCAAAATGTAAAGCGAAGTAGCGCGAACCTCCTCAAAAGGATCGAGCAGAAGATCCACGAGCAGTCTCAGCAAGGTAGGCTCAAACACCTCCACGTTGCAGAGCCACTTTGTCTTAATACCGTCCGATGGGCTGAGTCGAGCATCGAGGCCGGATTGGAGGAAGAGTATCAAGGTCTTCAGCGCGGAGACGTGTCGAGGGTAAGAAGCCGTGGGGCGCAGGTCCGCCTTGAGGAAATCCAGGTACTGTTGCATGCACGCCCGAGTGGTGGTGTCGTTCCTAGCAAGCTTGGGCTGCTGCTTTTTGTTCGCTGGGGCTTTCTGCTCAGTCGAGCCGTCCTGATCCTCCAGGAGTCCACCCTTGAGTCGGATTATCAATTTGCGAATCATACTCAGGATCTCGCCTCTCGAATAGGAGTCTGACTCGGTATGCATAGATGGCAGTCCACTAAGAATAGCGTTCATTGTTGCAGAAGAGACTGGCCTTGTCGTAGATGGAGCAGTGATCAGAAGTGAAAGCGTTGCAATCCTAATAGTGATGTCGCGATGGAAGAGGAACTGGCCGATGGTTTCGCTCTTCAAGACGAGCACATCGGACTCGTTGGCCCCAGCCTTTGGGATATAATCTAGAAGAGGTAAGTCCATTGAACATCGGGCCCATCACACAGCGCATACTTACGATCTTCGTGGATAAGCCCAATTTTCTTGGCAATTTGCAACGAAGCAAATAGTAGCATGAACTCCGCCAGCGGCGCATCGCTCATATCGCCCGCCAGAAGACTGTCCAGGGGGAGCCGCTCAATGAACAACTTGAAGCCAACCGGATCATTCGCAAACGAAGGTTGGAGGACATAGTTCGACATATATTCCATGTTATCCAGGTTCCGCAATGACACATGGCGAACGGGCGCCACCCAAACAGACGTCAAGTCCCGAGCGTTAGGCGAAGCCTTGACTTTCTGGAGAAATGCCGCTAAAGTGTCACCTGCAGAGGCAGCAAGCTCCGCCTTGGTAGCGCGAGCCAGCATTCCCAGGACCAGAATCTGAGCTGCTATCTGGTACGTATCCCTTTCAGAGTCCCTCTGAAGATACTGAGAGAAATCGATAGACAGA